TTCCACAGCTCAGATGTTGTTTTTCTTTTCCTTTACCGCTTCTGATTCGCCTGTGATGCATAGGCGGATGAAATAGGACTCGATATCTTCGAATTGCTCTTTTTGCAACTGTGCCATCATTTGACTATGAGACGATTTTTTGAGCTTCGCCCCTACTTATTGCCTCTCTGATTGAACATCTTCAGGATTTGAATCTGTTTTTGCCGGAGAAATCAGGGGCAGTGACGTGATTCGCTTCAATAATTGGTACCGCTTCTATCAGCTGGAACTTCCCGATCAAGTCAACTATCATGGATGGTTTACCAAACAACCAGTGGGTTATGTTTCTATCCGCTTAGTGAAACTTCCTGAAAATGATGACACGAATTCATATTTGTTGAATCCTTAACTGATCCTTATCAGTCTGTCTACAGGGTGGTCCAAAATTATGAGGACCAAGACATTGTGTCGTTAAAAACGCATAGTAGCTTGATGGAACAAACCAACTTCAGGGAAGTGTTTGTAACTCTTATCTCAAAGTAATTCCAGAATAGAATTGAGATCTGCCACCTGCCCCGTTTACACGAGCCTTCAGATGAAGGGGATGGCGCGTGCGGTGGCACGCAACTGAGGCGTGTCAAAATGTTTCCAGGCCTTCTGCTCTGCCTTCTTCAGGGAATCAAAGTTTTGTGGGGCATTTGCGCTTGCATCCAGGGTGTGAAATACAGAAATCTAGAGCTATTAGGTGGAAGGTTCCATTGTAACAATTCTTCGAAAGCAACGAACTCGAAAAATTTCATTTGCTTTTCAGAGAATTTTTGCGCGTGTATATGGTTATTCAGACTAAAGACCAATTTCTCACCGGAAGGTCCCATTTACTATCTTTTTTCCATTCCGTCTTCGATTCGAATAGCATAGATTCTGCCATAGTGAAACTTGGTCTCGACATCTTAGTGGATGAATAATCGCCTGGACTGCGCCAATCCACTACCGTATCCAGTGCCAAGAAGAAGGGAAAAGTAAACTACTCTTAAAGGGAAGGCGACGGGGTGGGTCTGCAAATGTCAGGAGAAGTTTCGTCCACCTCCAAAAAATTCGGATCTCCCTTCAAAAACGTGTAGGATCTTGGGAGGGTGAGTGATAGGCTGAACATGAACGCTGTCAAATAGCCCAGGAAGGGAAGGCATTCTGGAGGCATGAGCGCTACACTCATTGTGGTCCGATTCCTCGCTAGGCAGCCGAGCTTTACTTTTGTCAACGATCAGCTCAACTCAAGCCCATTTTCCAAAATCTGTCAAATTTTTATAGCCAGCCACTCTATCAGCTATCGTACCTGATCAAATTCTTGCTTTTTCGAACATTTCTGTAGTGCAATTGATTTTAGGGTGTTCAAATGACACTGCAATTTGAGTGGAACAAATGGAGAGCTATGGAAACCTCCATGTTGCTCAACACCTCACCCGAATTCGAAATGGCAGTCTACACAATCTGTGCGCTCAGTGGAGGAGAGGTACTGCAGAATTATTATCCGACTCTCTGAGCAGTAGTTCATTCTGGTTAGCCCTCATCGGCCGTTACTGGTCACCGAGCATTCATGGAAGAGATCGAATGCTGCCAGTAGCTTTTTTAAAACTGCCTCTGAAAGCTGTCTACAGGGAGGGAAGTCATTATGCCTATGGAGCACATCATTAAACTTTTCATCGCAGAGTGTCGCTGTTGATGAAAAATTTACTGCGAAATATTCATCGGGTACCCTCAAAGCAGAAGCTTCCCTTCTTCATTGCCCTCACCGTCTCCAAAACATGACGTCACCCGCAATCATTATCGAGCTCAAGGAAGCCTACTCTATTCGCTCCAGACTGAAGCTGCTAAGTAATCGTTCGTCGGCCATGATCTGGTTGTTAATCAGTGAATAGCTTCTTAGAAAGAATGACTATGCAAGATTACTTTTGAACAGCGTTTCAGATGACGTCATAACGGTTATGATCCGTCGACGACTCGGCCCGTGCACCTTGGTTTCGTGTTAACATCTTCTGAGTCGTCGGTGTAGAAGACTGTAGTTTCTCGATTCAAAATGTGTGATTCGAACTAGAATGTGCCTTTCGATTTCGCCGTTGGCTAATTCAGGTTTTCTATCAGGCTAAAGGCGTAGCACTTCTTGTTTGGAGGCCAGAGTTACGTAGTCGTTCCCCCACCCCCTGTACATCTTCTCGACCCTGGTTTTTTCTTGGCGTGCTCTGATTTCCGACTCTGAATGAACTGAAGACCAACTCAGGCAATTTTCCTACTGATACTAATTTACAATGTAAAGTGCGCCCATGTGTACTTGTTGTGAATACCTCCATTGCAAATTTCTTTTTTCAGTGTGAAATGGAAATCAATAACCAACCAGTGGTAATCTTTGCCAGCACGATCAAGCAAGATGATGGTCTCGTAGTGAGTTTTCCGTTCCATTTGAAGAGGAGCATTTGACGAGTTCTGATCGCTAACCGGCATCCCACTTTATCTTCGACTTTTAAATCGCTTCGAATCTCTGCTCTGTGAGCACGTTTTAGAAATTTCGAATACCTATTCTCTGTTCATATCACGCCATACAACCATAAGCCTTTCTGGTCTGCTTTCCACTACTACACTTCACCTCAAAGGGGGCATGCCCAAAAAATTGTTGCCCTTTGGAGCTGGAACTGTAGGGGTGCACTGGTCAAGAAATCCCCGAGAGAAAAGGTATTAGGACCCGTCAAATGGCACCCTTTTTTCCATTGTAATTCCGCCAGTGGACGAGCCCTTGACCACACGAGCTTGTTTGCACGTGCTAAAATCGAGAGCCTGTATCATGCAAACATACAACATCTTTTCTGACATGAACTACCGTTTCGAAATGTAGAGTGAAGTGCGGCGGAGGAGGCGAGCCGGACCACGGAAGGAGCCGCTGGCCAGGATTGGGGTTACCTACGCGCGGAAATGAGCGCGCTTTTAGCGTCCCCTATTCCTTGTTTGGTGGTTCGCTGTTACTTGTTGTATAAGATACCCCCTTCTTCCATATCCCATTTATCGTAACATCCTCCTTTCATGCAGTGGCAACAAGCACAAGAATACTGATTGGTGGGCAAAACCTTCTGCCACGGCCGGGATTCGTGCTCGGATCTTTTCCTTCCCGGGCGATTATTAGTCGCACCACTGGGGCACCATCTCATCTCCACTCAGCTTCGATGGTAAATTTAAACAGCATTATCCGATTAGAACCACTCAAATTTTGTAACAGTAGGTCTACAATTTTGGAAAAATCTCACGACCTTAACTTACACTCATTTCAAGACTGAACTGATGTGCATCAAATTCATTGCGATGTTATACTTATTACAAAGCTTCAGATTGACCAGTGCTATCCTGCGACATCCGGCCATAAACCAACAAAAAAACCAGTTCCACCCACAAAGAGGCCTGTTGTCAGCACCAAGAGACCTCGACATGGAGGCGGACTGCAGGCTGAGACATCATGAATACCTGAGTGAATCTGAGGACACAGTACAATGTAAGTGGAATAGGCGTACCTGAGCTATTTAGGTCTTCATGAAGTGATAGAGCGACTGACGATTCTATCCTCGTCTGATAGAAATCGTAGCACAGTCGCAGCAGAATTACTCATCTACGCGAGTCCAAATGTAATTAGCTAAGGATGGAACGGTAAAATATCAACGCTGATGATATAAGTAATAACGTGAAGAGGAGTGCTTGTCGATGAACCGCATTCTGCACTTTTCTGAAGCCATATGCATGCGAAAGGGGAATCTGTGGCGACATATTCGAAGGTGAATATCGGTCGAGGATTCCTCAACGGCTTGTCGAGGATTTTGCCTGATCAGTTACGCTCTCCCGCGCGGACATTCACACTCGCCATGCGCGAGCCGTCTGTGCTCTCCGCGCGTATGTTCACTCTCGGCACTACTCTCGCACAGTACAGAGCCATGGTCGAGGAATTCCTCGACCGTTATTCACCCTGGTGCGCCATAACGTTATATAATTGACATCTATACTAATTGATGATGGACTGCGTCGTTTTTGGAAAATGCAAATAGTTTTTTTCAGTTCTAAATATGTAAAGGGAGCTGAGAGGTAAGGACTACTCGCATGAAGATGTGAGAAATAAAATCCCTGTGCCTCTGCAGTATCCCAGAAAACTGTTGCAACCTTTGGAAAAGGTTTTTAGGCCCTTGTCGATAAAATGCGATTGGCCGACGTGGACAAAGCTGGACCTGAAGATTTGCAGCTGAAATGGGGAAAGAAGGCAGACAAGAAGTACAAGGACAAGTGCGTTCCACTACTTCATCGCTCTTCTTATCTTACTTCTTTTGAGCCTCTTTTCATGAGTGTGATGTTTTCACTACCTCACATCTAGCAGCTTTTAGGCTGTTCGTCTACGTTAACGAGACTCTTTTCAAAAGACCTGTCTATTCCACTTTGATCGAAGTATATGAGAGGAACCTCTTCGACCCGCAGGTTTGTTTTCATGAATAATGCAAGCATGGTGCGATGACAGACAGGATGAAGATGACGAGAGTTGTATCTTGGAATAGAGCAGAATCAGTAAGCAACTCTCGCACGCGGTCGCGTTGCAACCCGGTCGCGGAGTCTTCAATGGTGCGCATAGAAATTATGTCCTGTTTCGCGAACACACATCGGTAACCAAAAGAACGCCATAGATGGAATAAATAATTGAGCTGTGAAATCAGTCAGCAAATAACTCCGTTACTGTCAGTGCCGCGTGGGAAAATCGTGTCCTTTTTTGCGTCAAGTAAAGGACTGAGAACCTTTAATTTGTTTGTTAATTTCCACAGCGAGCTACAAATGAGTGCTGTTGTTCATCAGATCTCGCTCGATCGTGGGGGGAGACGAGTTATTTCCTAAATGCTAAGTTTTTTGCTGTTTGTTGGGACGGACTCAAAGGCAAGGTCCATGATTGAACTGATGCATTACTACGCTTGCATAAGACAATAGAGATGTGAAGTGTAACTTCAGCTACTATAAAAAGAAAAGAAACCGTCGACAAGGGCATAAATGAAACTCCCATCTTCAACAGAGGCGAAGCGAAATAGCATTTGTGGGTGGGCTTGGGTTGGGCGGGATCGGTGCCCTAGGACCTTAGTGCTTGGCTGTGCCGAATAACCCGCTATTTGTACACGTACTCCCCGTTTGCGTACCAACACATTTTTCTGGAAGAAAAGGCTAAATACCGACCAGAAGATTTGGACTTTGACATCATGATAAAGGAGATTAGCAGGCAGTTGCAGCGCGCCTATTACCCGAAAACGCCCACCTACGGTCCTCTTGGATACTACACTACCCTATTTACGGCCGTTTGCCTTAATTAAACAACAAGAGGATGATCAGTGTTTCGCACTGAGACCGAGTACTTCGTATATTTTCACACAGTCTACTGCATCTGACCTTTAGCCTATTACTTCTTCTGTGTTAGACTCATTCCATTTTTTTTATTACAAGGGGAACTATCTTCAAATTTAGATTCCTTTTAAATTGACTCAAATTCAGACTCAAGGGAAGAGCAGCGGTAGTTTGTATGAAATTTTCTTGCAGGTGTGCCATGCTGATTCAGAGATGAATGGCTTCCGAAAAGCTCAGCTGCGACTAATGTTCGATACCTGGACAGATACGGAAGTTTTCAAACTGGCTTTCGATTACTTGCAAAACAAAGGTACGCGGACCTACAAATTAAGAGTGTTATGAAAAGGTATTCTATTCCAGATTTCAAGTATGCGACCAGCATGCAAACATTGAAGGAATACCTCTGGACCTTATGGTTCGGCACCTACTCACGCTGTAAAGGACCATACGGAAGTTCAGGTAGGATCAGTTCAGGTTTTTTTTATAAAACTCATTAAAACTCATTTTGCATCTATTTTTGCCTCTGAAACACTTGCCACTGAAGCCCTGAAATGAGCTGCTTGGGGAGCATATGAGGCCAAGTAGCATCAGCAGCTTCATATTGAAGCGCAATTGCCAAATTCCACCATCCTCGAGTGCACCATTAAGTCTTCATATAGGTTCAAAACTTCTGTTGAATCATTGTGTGAACGCTGTTTATTTTCTCAAACAAAACACATTCAAGCTTATGTGTAGGATGGGAGCACGTCTTCTATGGTGAATGGAAAGGTACGAAAGTTGATGGACATCACAGCTGGGTCAGATATTACCTGCAACAGAAAGCCGGTCAAATCGAATATCATGGATACTACGTCTACGTACCAGTAAGCATAACATCCTTCTCGAAAGGACTCAAAATTTCAAATTTCTATGAGCTTGTCGGTCCGCTTTTTTTTTTGAAAGGACGAAGTTGGTTAGGAATATAGCTCCCAGGAGAAAGCGTGTACGCTACACAGATAATTGCGCGGTATTGTTACGATCGCGGTCGCGTTGCAAGGAATTCAACAATCGGAGAAGTATTCATCTGTTGCAATTCAAATTGACGCTACGCGACCGCGCGCTCTGTCAACTGTCACAAACCATTTGGATCAGAAGCGCACTGGAAATGTTTTGCAAAACAGTGAAGCATCTAAACCCTGCACCGAAGCTGTGACATACAAAATTTTTTGAGATTCATTACGCTCTCCGAATTTTGGCTACTTTCAAGTGCTTAGCAACCTTGATCAGAAGTGAAGTAGGTATTTAATGATTTCCTTTGGTTTTCTGCTACATCGCAGTTCTGTGAGAAACCTGACATGTATTTGTAGGCTTCCATCCTTTTCCAATTGATTTCTGCTGCCTCATTTTTTGAGGCACTGAGATTGTGCTATGGGACCAATTGAAAAAGCAATCAAATTTAGGACATTATCGGCACAGTCCAGTACACGTGGCAGAAACATACCAAGCCCAAGGGTGGTTTCCTCATTGGCACCTCTCCAGGTGAGCATCTTCTGCAATAATCAAATTGAATTCCATTCAGAACTTCCTTTAATTTCCTTACCATGTGGTACGGTGATCGCAGTGTGACAGCAAGTGCACAGCTGCGCTAGGCAGAACTCACTGCAAGCTTATTAGAAGCCATTACAAGCTCCTAATATCCTTTTGTAGGAGCTATGCTCATCAAGAAAAGACACATGCATATGCTCTGTTGCAGGCACTGCTCGCACCAGCGACGTGGGTGAGAAATTACAATGCGAATTCCCGTCTGCCGGCCAATCAGAGGACATGCGGACATGTTCGAACACATGCGCTTCTTATTGGCTGGATTCGCACTGAACCACCCCACCCACATCCCTAAGGATCGCACTGAACCCTCCACCCACATTCCCTAGTAGCGACCATACGCTTCAATTCTTAGCGATACTTATTACAGACGTTCTGATCTTCACCCTCTTCTCAGTCTGCTGCAATTCTGATCCTGAGTGACCAATGGCTGCCAAGATTATAGTATTGATTGGACATCCGCTCGGCGTCATCATAGTCTCAAAACTTGCAAGCGAATTCTGAGAGTGCTTGCGACGTCCTATCTGTTCATTTATGAATAATAAGCTTCATTTATACTGACCAACCTTGCTAGAAAACATCATGTAATACAAATTGTTCAACATAAGGCGCTCTACACATCAACGAAAGCAAAATGATCTTCCTCCTGGAAAAACAGAGAATGGTTGGCACCGTGCATCACATAACGCTGACTGAAGAAAGTTGATTAGCTTTCCGCATTGATGGATTTACTTAGCGGGAAGTATGTACTCACACTGGATCTGGGAAAATTTAGCCTAGGATTTGACCCTCCGACCGTGCGGAAGCACTTTGCATTTGCCTCACTTTCGTAGAAACAAGTTTCGAAACACGAGCCGAACTGTAGTAGTATGGCCATGAAAACATTATTCGTCGATGCGCACTACTTTGAGTTATAATTGGGAGCACCGGAGGGAATGCACGTTTTTGATGCTTTTGCGCTTCCGACCGAGTCCCTTGACCTAAGTCTCTAAAATTCTTGAGTAGCCTACTGCATGCAAGCTCTAGCTACGGCGTTTTTAAGCCAGTGCGCTTCGGAAAGTCTTTGCAACTTCTCTGGCAAAAGAGATGGAAATCTGGCTCGCTGCTGAACCTTGCGAGCACTGTAGCTTTCAGAAACTGGCGGTAGTCGGAAGCAAACCACGTGTTGCCGACAATTACGTAATAACGATAAGGGCATCGTAGCTTCTTATCGAAAAAATCGACACGGCCAACCTTCCACCTTCATTTAACTGCAAACCGAACCAAGCGGTCCTACTCTTATTTTTTGGGGTTCTTCTTACCGTTTTTCAGAATCTCTTCCGCCATTCCACTAGCTCTACTGTACATGTAGAATATCCTATTGTAGCACGTCGCCCGATTTCAGGTAACAGCCAATGATGCTTCGAGTTATTTGCCTTGCGCTGTTTGTTGCTGGTGTTTGTCAAGGTACGTTTTTACCTAATGTGAATTCTATCAGAGTTGAAACTAGAAGTTTGCAACTGCATGCCCTTTTACAAAGATCCCTCAGATATTACGAAGGTCCCAAAGTCGGTTTAACCTAGGAATCTTAATCGCCTGTCTTCTGCCCTCATGTTGCTCACGGAGGGGCGATGGAGTTTTGAACGTTTGGTTTCTTGAGCAAAGAAAACTGGCGGTGTTCTTCGAGCGGATGCCTGTAACGTCACTGTTTGTCCTAGTCACCTAACACACCGGTGATTTCTCTGCTAGATAGGTTAACGAACTCAATTTCGTGAAGAGTTCTTGCCCTCTATTCGCGACTAGAAAGATTCAATACGTAGCCTCTTTCCATCGACGTTAGAACAATTCTACATCGCATTTCTCCTTGTTGTAGCACCGCGGACCCATACTGTTGAGGGCAGTTGCACAATCTCAAGAGTTTCATTTATTCAGTGCAACAATCAGACCATTGTGCCAGTAATTCTGATTGCATTGCCACTAATCTGATACAATCTCAACTCGTAAGCTGCAAGCAGCGTACGTTAGACAAAGGAGGGTCGGAGGGAGCAGTTTGGCACCGTTCGTTGGACACTTGCTATGCGACTAGATCCCTTTACCGCGCTGGCGGTGTGGTTAGAACCGCCTCCTCACGCCATGCCACCAATTAGTTTGAAGACATCGTCAAAACCGTGCCAGTCTAAACCCACTATTCGTGATTGCTTTGAGCCCGAGTTCACCATGAAAAGCACCCCTAGGAACCCAATTCGAGGTAGTCAGTGATGCAGGGATGAACAACAATCCAAGAAAAACAACCCGGAATCTAAGATTCTCTTTTGGACTCACTTTAACCCGTTGAGGCTTGTCTCATCGTGCTTGTCCTCTAGCAACAATTAATGCCTTTCTGTGAAAACGCGCTTCGATCTGCGCCATGCCGCGGCGCTTGCGGCGCGCAGACGGCAGTGCCAGATAACCGGGGCACACGCTTCGCTGCGAATTGCGTGAGGGATGCGCCTGTATTTCTATCAGGTAGATAACCTCTTCTCAGACTACACGATCTTATTGTGGAAACCTTCTTTAATAAAAAACATGGAACTGTGTAAAAAGCGCGAGTTGACGTGCGCTTTCCGTTTCTGCACTCTCCTTGCTCTTACACCTTACTGTTTTTACACTCTCAGGTCGAATTCTTTCCTCCGCCTTGAACTAGGCGATCACTGTTGTTATAAGATTAATGAAGTTGAGTGTTTGAAAACTGTTTTATAGCTGGAGTAAAGCATGAGGAGTCAGTCCTTTCCTCACAGTAGACTTGCGCTGCTGCGAACGCGCGTAACTCTAGCCACCTTGACAACGGTTGAAGCACTTGGCATCAGATTGCCGAAAAAGCACCAGCTTTCCAGTACAATTGATTGTTCCCGGACAAGTATGATAGTGCTCACTATTTCTGCTTGAACGCTCGGCATATTCAATGTTGGGACAGCAACCATGCATTCGAAGTCCTGGTTGGTCTTCAGTGAATATTATACGACTGCGAACCTCTTTCCTCCTTGGTGATTCCCTATCAAGCATTTTTTCCTTTACACGTTAGCAAATCATCTCAGTTCTACATGATAAAGGATAAATAAAAGGATAAAGGATAAAGCATTTGCCGTTGATCAATCCCTTTTGGGATGCGGCACGCATTCTACTTCCATTTGTACATTCGTAGTGGCGTTTGAATGCGATGTGGCCTATACAATGACTTGCGGGGCCAGCCGATGTACAAGTCAGTGTTTTTATCCTCCCAGACAAGTCTGGTACCAATTAACCGACCCCGGAGGGATGGAAGGCTTGGTTGGCCCGGGCGACTCACGACCCAGGATTTGATCCCCGGACCGCTCGCGTGGTAAGCGTGCCACTTGCCACTACACCACTTCCGCCCTTCATGAACGCTTTACCAAAAATAATTGCCGAAATGTCACAAAGAAGATCATTATCAGTTCGCTGACTGAGCAATGTAGTATTAAAGGAATCAAGGATTGATAGGAAGTACATCAGCGTAGGTTAAGAGATAACAATGTTTTTTCTTCGTCAACAGGCTCATTCGTTATGGAAAACACTAGCCCAAACAAAAAACCATGCTGTACGGCAAGCATTTTTGCGGTGATTAAACTTTTTCAAAATAGTATTCTAATCAGGAAAATCGAATAAGAACGAGAAGTTAGTGATTGTATTATCAGACACTTCAAGGTGCTTTCAATACAAGCCTTACTGCCATGAGCAGCATTTCAATTGTACGAGTGGTACAATGCGTAAAAACTATCCCGTGATGTTTCATGTTTCATCACTACTGGGAACTTAAAGGAATCTTCCACGGACCATGGACCAGTGGGCGGGACCGGAAGTGGTTTTGCGACGAAATGCATGGTAGGTACGGATCCACGTTCATGGGAAGGTTTGAAGTGAATCCTGTTCACGTTCGTGCGTTCGACACGT